AAGACATCTGTACTTATTCTTGTTCATATCACAGCAATATTTGTTAGGTTCATGTACGAAAAGGATGTTGGGATTGGTTCCAGATTTTCTACAGATAAGTATATGCCTATTTCATGATTGTAGGATGAAGTGCGACTCGTGTAAATAAAGAAAAAATCTAACCTCCGCGTGTCATTAATCTACTGAAAATGGTTCCGGAATACGTGTAGGTTGGCCTTGTGAAGTGACATGACGCCCAGTTGTAAGGTACATGCTCCGAGACTAAATCATATGTTCGTAGCGTGGTGTGCTGAATCATAATCGACACATAATTGTCGTCTGCTGATTTAGTTATGGATAATGTCGGCTGCCTACAAGTGTTCGAACAACTGTGTACCATTGGTTGGGTAACAGTTCTTAATTCGTTGTTGCTGGTAATCAAATGTCTGCTTTTCGTAACACTGAAAGAAGGGGAGTCACTGACAAGGGTTTTACTTTGTTATAGAATATTATAAGTGCTGACTATCCTTTAACTGTTTTGTGTAGCTTTTTTAAATAATGTCAGCAGTGTTCTTGTAATAAAATAATCACATAGGCGACTAAAGTATGAAATATACAACAAAACAAACAAGGTGAACCACTCGTCAAATTAAAATAAGTTTACAGAATTGAGGAAAAAACACAGACAATTGTACGTTTTACAAAAACTTCACTTATCAACGAACATGGTTTTGCCAGTAAAGGCATCATCAGGTACAGCTTTAATGGTGAAACCACGGTCGTTAATAAATGACGTTTTTGTTGTTGTTTTTTCCTCAATTCTGTAATAATGTAGTTTCACCATGTACCGAAGTTTCAAATATCAATTATATAAAATAAGTTTATTAACCACTATGAAAACAACGTTTCGATCAATGGTCCTTCATCGGGTTTTCATAGATGAGGAAATAACTTTTAATATTGATTATTACAATATATCTGTTCGTTCTTTTTCTGAGTATGTTATGACTGATAGCCGTTTGAATTCGATGATGTCAAAAATTGAAAAGGGGTGTTCGTAAATTTGCACTTCGTTTAGCTGATGACAGAACCTTGAAGCTTCTCTGATGAATGGTCGTTGATCGAAACGTTGGTTTCAGATTCGTCAAAAGAATTTATTCTAGTTTGGCAGTTGTTTCACCTTGTTGGTTTTGTTCTTATATAAACATATAATACATCTCTAACAGTAACTAACAAACACTGTGTTCATTAATACTATTGGTTACAACGTTTAAAATACTTTTGAATATTGTTATTCATTTTATGAAATTTAACTTTATAAAGAACATTTTGTATTACTAACGTAGCTTGTGAATTTAGGACTATCGTTATTTAATCTCTTAAGTTGACCAAATCTAGCGAGGCATTATCAAACTCTACGACCGAATCGTCATTAATACCCAAAGAATCAAATTATGCATTATCATCATTATAGGTTATATTTTACTTGGGTATTCAGTTTTGATACTAGGATTTGCTTTATAACATTACTTTCGTTGCTTTATAAGCTACTTTTCAGCTCTGTCAGACGTTATTAATAATTCATAACGTAAACCATGTTCATTATATAAACTGTGTTATTAACGTATATAAGGCGAGTTTATCAGTAGCACGAACTATACTCATTACAAACGAAAATTGCGTTCATCACTAGTGGTAATTGTTCATTTATAATGTGAACTGTGTTTATCATTATCATAAATTATGTCACTAATGTGAAACGAGTTTGTCACTAGCGTAAGATATGTTCTCCATCATATAAGTTGTATTTATTACTGGCGTAAAATTTGTCCATTACTAACATGAATTGAATTCATCATTAATATAACTATGTTCTCTACCAACGAAAAACCCGTGTTCATCGTTACCCTAAACCGTATTTTTAATTGCTATTAATACATCATAACCTGTATTTTTAATATAAGTGCTCTCCAACATAACCATAAATTTTTCCAGCTCCCATGTAACTATGTAAATAACTCTTTAATATCTCAAGAAAATTTCTATATATGTAATTAGCAGACTGCATGACGCAGGCACTTTAGAAAAAAATACGTACGAGTTACATCAGATGTCTTTCTTCTAGTCTACCAGTTTAAAATTTGGGGCAGCTATGCCCATTTTGTGTTGCTTTGGTCGAAATTTTGCAACAAAAACGTTTTTTTATGAAAAATACATTTTTATGTTATTTGATCCTTAATATGTTTATAGCGTACTAGATTGTTAAAACGTTCAAATATTTCTTTAATTTGGTTTATTAAATCGTTTCCAATATTCTAGATGGGCACACATTTTGGTAGTCAGCCATATCCTATGGCATATTTGAAAACATCAGACTTATTTCGTTCTTGATTATAAAGATATTCGTAGTAAATCTATTGTAGATTGTTTTGGTTAGCTATGAAGTAGCTAGTTCATATTTTAGTATTTTTCATTCGCTCTGTATGTACTTAATTATTTTAAACACGCTGGGCAATAAAATATGGTTTATTTTTATAATCAAAAATAAGTATAATATAACACTATAAAACACAAACTCGTGTGTGACAGACAGTATACTAGTACAAGCATTATTGATAATATATAAAGTGACAGATAGTATATTAGTACAAGTTTTATTGATAATAATAACGTAACAGTTAGTATATTAGTACAAGTGTTATTGATAATATATAGAGTGCCAGATAGTATACTAGTACAAGCATTATTGATAATATATAGAGTGACAGATAGTATATTAGTACAAGTTTTATTGATAATAATAACGTAACAGTTTAGTATATTAGTACAAGTGTTATTGATAATAATAACGTGACAGTTAGTATATTAGTACAAGTGTTATTGATGATATATAACGTGATATATAGTATATTATTACAAGTGTTATTGGTGATATATAACGTGACAGATAGTATATTAGTACAAGTGTTATTGATAATAATAATAACGTGACAGTTAGTATATTAGTACAAGTGTTATTGATGATATATAACGTGATATATAGTATATTATTACAAGTGTTATTGGTGATATATAACGTGACAGATAGTATATTAGTACAACTGTTATTGATAATAATGTCGCAAAAATGCGTTCCGCAGTTTAAAATTCTGAGTGCGTTATAAAAATGACCATCAAATCTCACTATTTAACGAGACAAGAGTAGCCTGTTGACGAGGTTGCAAGGGCCTGGGAACTAGAGGTTGCGAAAGCGCCCTCTCGTTTGAAGTACGGGAGGCATCGCACCTGGTGGTGATGCTAGAAGAACAGTTTTGGTTTGCATGGCCTATTTTGTACGATGAATATTTATCGATATTTAACGCAAAGCTATATGAGAGCGAAATAATGTTTTAAAAATATGTACATTCTGTACTTTTCGCTAGTCTTGTTATGCTGGTCCATCATATTTACTAGTTACTGTTTACATTGAGAAAATATGACGTTATTTACTTCAATTAAAGTGTGTACCTACTAGTGAACTTACAAAAGCCTGTAGTGTTCTTTTCGGTTTGTTTGCTCTCTAGGTTTTACGATAATCCTGTTGTCAACATTCTAACAAGGACTGTGATTCTTTCAGCATGAATGACTAACCGCCTTCCTTCTAGACTGTCAGCTCAAAATCAGGAACGGTTATAAGAAGATGGCACTTTTGTAGCTTTGCGTGGAAATGTCAAGCATGATCATTTTTGAGTTGAAAAACAACATTTTTTGAATTTTTGGTTCTTTAATGCGTTTGCAGCATACTTGATTGTTAAACATTCAAATATGTATATATATATATATATATATATATATTACTTTTATCTATTAGC